GCACTGCTCGAAAATAGCCCGCCTGCTAATTGGGGAAGGCCATCTGGGTATTTCCTTGGCTGCTGGAGGTGCCCTCCGCCTTCCCTTCTCCTATTTGCCTTGCGGGACGTGTGGTGGCAAGGGACGGCTCTGCAGCAGAGCACAGAGTAGCCTAGCTCCTGGAGAACAACAGAGCGAACATTTTAAACCTCCCCCCCCCAAGACCCTTAGTCGCTGGCAGGATTTGCTCTTTGCTCTGCCTCTGCTCTGGACTCCCAAACCATTTGCAGATTTTGAAATCCTCAGCAAAGATGGACCAACACGAAGGGACTGTGTGTACGCAAAGGGTGGAGTCTGCCTGTGTGCTCTGTTTGCTTGCAATTGTGCGAAGCCAACACTTCAATGGTCAGCTGACGAGTCGATGTTTTGCACAGACCCAGAGAATGTGTGTCCAAGGGCAAAGTTCACCCTGCGGAGCATCCGCAGACGCCCAGGAGCATCCTGGGAACAGGGTCCAATGTTCAAGCTCTGCTTCCCAGGTGGGTGCCCACAAAGAGTGCTCACCACCCCTCTTTTCAACCAGCCCAGCTGTGGGCTTTAAGACATCCGCTCCCCAAAGCAGCCTAGTTAACAACACTCAGTTTTGCCCCGGAGAGATTCTGTCTCTGCACCGTCTGTGGCTTTCCCCATGCTGTCCTCCTCACTCTGTGCTTTGGCCTGCGTTTCCTTGCAGATCTGGAGGCCGCCCAGCGCTACGATGGCCAAAGACAACTCGGCTTTCTCTGCCCCCATCTCTGAGGGCAAAGCACCCCTTTCCTCGCAGCCGGCCAAGTCAGCGGCCTTGCGGCGCCTGGGCGAGGGCCCTGAGAAGGCCGAGAAGAAGCGTGGGCGCCAACGCTACGTGGAGAAGGATGGCAAGTGCAACGTCCAGCACGGGAACGTGCGAGAGACCTACCGCTATCTCACTGACATCTTCACCACGCTGGTGGACCTGAAGTGGCGTTTCAGCCTGCTGGTCTTCATCCTGGCCTACGCGATCACCTGGCTCTTCTTCGGCCTCATCTGGTGGTTCATTGCCTACTGCCGGGGCGACCTAGACCATCTGGGGGACGACGCTTGGACCCCCTGTGTCAACAACCTCAACGGCTTCGTCTCGGCCTTTCTCTTCTCCATCGAGACCGAGACCACCATCGGCTACGGGCACCGGGTCATCACCGACAAGTGTCCCGAGGGCATCATACTGCTCCTCCTCCAGGCCATCCTGGGCTCCATGGTGAACGCCTTCATGGTGGGCTGCATGTTCGTCAAGATCTCCCAGCCCAACAAGCGGGCGGAGACGCTGGTGTTTTCCTCCCACGCCGTCATCTCGCTGCGGGATGACCACCTCTGCCTCATGTTCCGGGTGGGGGACCTGCGCAACTCCCACATCGTGGAGGCCTCGATCCGGGCCAAGCTGATCAAGTCCAAGCAGACCCAAGAAGGGGAGTTCATCCCCCTCAACCAGACGGACCTCAGCGTGGGCTTCGAGACGGGCGACGACCGCCTCTTTCTGGTCTCCCCGCTGATCATCAGCCACGAGATCAACGAGCACAGTCCTTTCTGGGAGGTGTCCAAGGAACAGCTGCGGAAGGACGAGTTTGAGGTCGTGGTCATCTTGGAAGGGATGGTGGAGGCCACAGGTAGGTGGAGGGGGGCTGCGGGATCTCTGGGCTCCCTGCTGGGGACACTGCCAAAAGAGGGATGCCCTTACCTGAGGCTGGGGGGGCAGGGAGGAGAGCTGGCCATGAAAAGCAACTTCAGCTCAGGTGTACCCCATTTTCAAGTGAAGGGTTTGGGGCTTGGTTTCTTCCCCCCCCCCTCGCCGGTCCTAGCCAGGTGCCTGGGGTGGCCTGTGGCATTCATACCCTCCATCAAGAAGGCTTTGGGAAGAGCCCCCAGCCTCGGATGGGTGTGAGAAGAAGGGTCCGTCCCACTGGGTTCAGGAGAGCAAAATCAGGATTATATAGGTGCATTAGAAATTAATAGATTAACTGGTAGCTCATGGAAGTGGCCGACGCCATCCTACCCACCGTCCCCAATTCCCTTGCAGGGATGACGTGCCAAGCGCGGAGCTCCTACCTGGTGGACGAGGTCCTGTGGGGACATCGCTTCATGTCGGTCCTCTCCTTGGAGGATGGATTTTACGAGGTGGATTACAACAGCTTCCACCAGACCTTCGAGGTGCCCACCCCCAGCTGCAGCGCCCGGGAGCTGGCGGAGGCTGCAGCTCGCATGGACGCCCACCTGTACTGGTCCATCCCCAGCCGGCTGGATGAGAAGGTGGAGGAGGGGACAGAGAAGGGGGACGAGGGGGACAAAGAGAGGAACGGGAACCTCACCAGCCCCGAGAGCGAGTCCAAGGTCTAACAGGCCTCCGGACGGGCAGAGCGAGCCAGGAGGCCTGGGCGGTGGCACAAGGCAGCCAGAGGGGGCAGGGGAGCCATCTGGCAAGCGAAGGTGCCCTCCGGCTGGTTTGGACCTTGGGGTTATCAGCACAGACTGTAAAAGAAAGACTCAACCGAGTCTTGAAAGTGCCCATGTGCAGGGAAGGCAGCAACTGGAGCCATCGGGAGGCAACATGGAACTGGAAACCATATTCAATGGGGGTCCAGACCCACTGCTAGGAAAGACGAGGCCCTTGGGACGGCAATGGGGCCCCACAGATGTGCCCATGTGGCTTCCTCAGCAGTGAGAGCGAGGGGGCTTTGGCCTTTCCCAATTCCTGGGCTTTCCAGCTAAGCCCCGAGTGCAGGTGGTCTCCCCTGCAAGTCCTAGCCGGACCTGACCCTACTTAGCTTCCAGAGCTCAGATGGGTGAAGAGACTCTCAGTGTGAGAAACGCGCAGCCTGGGGGCACCTGGGGGATGACAAGAGAAGGTGTGAAGAGGTGGCTGCATGAACAAGGAGGTGGTGAAGACCACCAGTGAGGACCATGAATACTCTGGCTGCTCTCCTTGCCCCCCACACCTGCTCAGCTTCCCCCCCACCTCCCGAGCAGACTATGCTGTTTCAAAGCAGGCACATTTTTGCACAAGGCAACCTTTTAAAAAAAAAAAACACTGCAGAGTTCGTTTTGGGCATGCCAAAGACCACGGAGACCCCCAGGGGGGGATGTAGGGAGAGATGTGACCCCAGCGCGCAAAGCCGCTTCGATTAGCAAGTTTCTCCGCCCAGCAGACCCGGCATGGCTGGCTGTTTCCCCCACAGGACAAGAAAAAGGGGGGTGGGCAGCTTGATCTATGATATGGTCCATATTTTGAAATAAACCTTACCAGACGAGTTGTGTAATCAAGGAATTGTGTGTCTGCATATATTTGCATATGAAAGTCGAAAGCCCAAACAGAGTCAACCAGAAAGTTTTAGAGTGCAGAAAACACACAAGAACGGCGTATCGAACGATTCTGGGTTCCCGTTGTACCTTGAAGCCTCAGCGGAACCGATGACACCCGGAATAGATTTTACTTTCAAATTGTTACCACCCCACTCAGGATTCCTCAGATCCTGAAGACCTTAAAGGGGTCTTTATCCCTTTTTCCCTCCAAGAGCCCAAAGCAGTGGAGATGACTTGACTTCACCTCTTTCCTCACAACAAGCCCCTATGGCAGATTAGGGGGAGGGGGAGAAATGCCTCCCCAGCCCATGGAATGAACGGGGCTTGTCTCTTTTCCTCCCACAGCATTTTATGCTCAGAACTAGGAGAGAGAGAGAGAGAGAGAGAGAAAGAGAGAGGGAGAGAGAGAGGGAGAGAGAGGGAGAGAGGAGAGAGAGGGAGAGAGGAGAAAGAGAGAGAAAGAGAGAGAGAGAAAGAAAGAGAGGGAGAGAAAGAGAAAGAGAGAGAAAGAGAGAGGGAGAGAGAGAGGGAGAGAGAGGGAGAGAGGAGAGAGAGGGAGAGAGGAGAAAGAGAGAGAAAGAGAGAGAGAGAAAGAAAGAGAGGGAGAGAAAGAAAGAGAGGGAGAGAGAGAGAGAGAGAGAGAAAGAGAGAGGGAGAGAGAGAGGGAGAGAGAGGGAGAGAGGAGAGAGAGGGAGAGAGGAGAAAGAGAGAGAAAGAGAGAGANGCACTGCTCGAAAATAGCCCGCCTGCTAATTGGGGAAGGCCATCTGGGTATTTCCTTGGCTGCTGGAGGTGCCCTCCGCCTTCCCTTCTCCTATTTGCCTTGCGGGACGTGTGGTGGCAAGGGACGGCTCTGCAGCAGAGCACAGAGTAGCCTAGCTCCTGGAGAACAACAGAGCGAACATTTTAAACCTCCCCCCCCCCAAGACCCTTAGTCGCTGGCAGGATTTGCTCTTTGCTCTGCCTCTGCTCTGGACTCCCAAACCATTTGCAGATTTTGAAATCCTCAGCAAAGATGGGCCAACACGAAGGGACTGTGTGCACGCAAAGGGTGGAGTCTGCCTGTGTGCTCTGTTTGCTTGCAATTGTGCGAAGCCAACACTTCAATGGTCAGCTGACGAGTCGATGTTTTGCACAGACCCAGAGAGTGTGTGTCCAAGGGCAAAGTTCACCCTGCGGAGCATCCGCAGACGCCCAGGAGCATCCTGGGAACAGGGTCCAATGTTCAAGCTCGGCTTCCCAGGTGGGTGCCCACAAAGAGCGCTCACCACCCCTCTTTTCAACCAGCCCAGCTGTGGGCTTTAAGACATCCGCTCCCCAAAGCAGCCTAGTTAACACTCAGTTTTGCCCCGGAGAGATTCTGTCTCTGCACCGTCTGTGGCTTTCCCCATGCTGTCCTCCTCACTCTGTGCTTTGGCCTGCGTTTCCTTGCAGATCTGGAGGCCGCCCAGCGCTACGATGGCCAAAGACAACTCGGCTTTCTCTGCCCCCATCTCTGAGGGCAAAACACCCCTTTCCTCGCAGCCGGCCAAGTCGGCGGCCTTGCGGCGCCTGGGCGAGGGCCCTGAGAAGGCCGAGAAGAAGCGTGGGCGCCAACGCTACGTGGAGAAGGATGGCAAGTGCAACGTCCAGCACGGGAACGTGCGAGAGACCTACCGCTATCTCACTGACATCTTCACCACGCTGGTGGACCTGAAGTGGCGTTTCAGCCTGCTAGTCTTCATCCTGGCCTACGCGATCACCTGGCTCTTCTTCGGCCTCATCTGGTGGTTCATTGCCTACTGCCGGGGCGACCTGGACCATCTGGGGGACGACGCTTGGACCCCCTGTGTCAACAACCTCAACGGCTTCGTCTCGGCCTTTCTCTTCTCCATCGAGACCGAGACCACCATCGGCTACGGGCACCGGGTCATCACCGACAAGTGCCCCGAGGGCATCATACTGCTCCTCCTCCAGGCCATCCTGGGCTCCATGGTGAACGCCTTCATGGTGGGCTGCATGTTCGTCAAGATCTCCCAGCCCAACAAGCGGGCGGAGACGCTGGTGTTTTCCTCCCACGCCGTCATCTCGCTGCGGGATGACCACCTCTGCCTCATGTTCCGGGTGGGGGACCTGCGCAACTCCCACATCGTGGAGGCCTCGATCCGGGCCAAGCTGATCAAGTCCAAGCAGACCCAAGAAGGGGAGTTCATCCCCCTCAACCAGACGGACCTCAGCGTGGGCTTCGAGACGGGCGACGACCGCCTCTTTCTGGTCTCCCCACTGATCATCAGCCACGAGATCAACGAGCACAGCCCCTTCTGGGAGGTGTCCAAGGAACAGCTGCGGAAGGACGAGTTTGAGGTCGTGGTCATCTTGGAAGGGATGGTGGAGGCCACAGGTAGGTGGGCAGGGGCTGCGGGATCTCTGGGCTCCCTGCTGGGGACGCTGCCAAAAGAGGGGTGCCCTTCCGAGGCTGGAGGGGGGGCAGGGAGGAGAGCTGGCCATGAAAAGCAACTTCAGCTCAGGTGTACCCCCATTTTCAAGTGAAGGGTTTTTGGCTTGGTTTCTCCCCCCCTCCCCCGCCGGTCCTAGCCAGGTGCCTGGGGTGGCCTGTGGCATTCATACCCTCCATCAAGAAGGCTTTGGGAAGAGCCCCCAGCCTCGGATGGGTGTGAGAAGAAGGGTCCATCCCACTGGGTTCAGGAGAGCAAAATTAGGATTATATAGGTGCATTAGAAATTAATAGATTAACTGGTAGCTCATGGAAGAGGCCGACGCCATCCTACCCACCGTCCCCAATTCCCTTGCAGGGATGACGTGCCAAGCGCGGAGCTCCTACCTGGTGGACGAGGTCCTGTGGGGACATCGCTTCATGTCGGTCCTCTCCTTGGAGGATGGATTTTACGAGGTGGATTACAACAGCTTCCACCAGACCTTCGAGGTGCCCACCCCCAGCTGCAGCGCCCGGGAGCTGGCGGAGGCTGCAGCTCGCATGGACGCCCACCTGTACTGGTCCATCCCCAGCCGGCTGGACGAGAAGGTGGAGGAGGGGACAGAGAAGGGGGACGAGGGGGACAAAGAGAGGAACGGGAACCTCACCAGCCCCGAGAGCGAGTCCAAGGTCTAACAGGCCTCCGGACGGGCAGAGCGAGCCAGGAGGCCTGGGCGGTGGCACAAGGCAGCCAGAGGGGGCAGGGGAGCCATCTGGGCAAGCAAAGGTGCCCTCCATCTGGTTTGGACCTTGGGGTTATCAGCACAGACTGTAAAAGAAAGACTCAACCGAGTCTTGAAAGTGCCCATGTGCAGGGAAGGCAGCAACTGGAGCCATCGGGAGGCAACGTGGAACTGGAAACCATATTCAATGGGGGTCCAGACCCACTGCTAGGAAAGACGAGGCCCTTGGGACGGCAGTGGGGCCCCACAGATGTGCCCCTGTGGCTTTCTCAGCAGTGAGACCGAGGGAGCTTTGGCCTTTCTCGATTCCTGGGCTTCCCAGCTGAGCCCCGAGTGCAGGTGGTCTCCCTTGCAAGTCCTAGCCGGACCTGACCCTACTTAGCTTCCAGAGCTCAGATGGGTGAAGAGACTCTCAGTGTGACAAACGCGCAGCCTGGGGGCACCTGGGGGATGACAAGAGAAGGTGTGAAGAGGTGGCTGCATGAACAAGGAGGTGGTGAAGACCACCAGTGAGGACCATGAATACTCTGGCTGCTCTCCTTGCCCCCCACACCTGCTCAGCTTCCCCCCCACCTCCCGAGCAGACTATGCTGTTTCAAAGCAGGCACATTTTTGCACAAGGCAACCTTTTTAAAAAAAACCACTGCAGAGTTCGTTTTGGGCATGCCAAAGACCACGGAGACCCCCAGGGGGGGATGTAGGGAGAGATGTGACCCCAGCGCGCAAAGCCGCTTCGATTAGCAAGTTTCTCCGCCCAGCAGACCCGGCATGGCTGGCTGTTTCCCCCACAGGACAAGAAAAAGGGGGAGGGGGCAGCTTGATCTATGATATGGTCCATATTTTGAAATAAACCTTACCAGACGAGTTGTGTAATCAAGGAATTGTGTGTCTGCATATATTTGCGTATGAAAGTCGAAAGCCCAAACAGAGTCAACCAGAAAGTTTTAGAGCGCAGAAAACACACAAGAACGGCGTATCGAACGTTTGTGGGCTCCCGCTGTACCTTGAAGCCTCAGCGGAACCGATGACACCCGGAATAGATTTTACTTTCAAATTGTTACCACCCCACTCAGGATTCCTCAGATCCTGAAGACCTTAAAGGGGTCTTTATCCCTTTTTCCCCTCCAAGAGCCCAAAGCAGTGGAGATGACTTGGCTTCCTCACAACAAGCCCCTATCGCAGGTTGGGGGAGGGGGAGGGGGAGAAATGCCTCCCCAGCCCATGGAATGAACGGGGCTTGTCTCTTTTCCTCCCACAGCATTTTATGCTCAGAACTAGGAGAGAGGGAGAGAGAGAGAGAGAGAGAGGGAGGGAGGGAGGGAGGGAGAGAGAGGGAGGGAGAGGGAGAGGGAGAGAGAGAGAGAGAGAGAAAGAGGGAGAGAAAGAGAAAGAGAAAGAGAGAAAGAGAGGGAAAGAGAGAGAGAGGGAGAGAGAAAGAGAGAGAAAAAGAGAGAGAAAGAGGGAGAGAAAGAGAGAAAGAGAAAGAGAGAGAGGGAGAGAAAGAGAGAAAGAGAAAGAAAGAGAGTGTGTGTGTGTGTGTGTGTGCCCAGTTTGAGAAGCCTTCACAACTGTTTTGCTGCCCTGCAGCGCCCCCTCCTACTCCTGGCCAGGGAAGGGTAGTGCAGCTCCTCCCAGGGACCGCCAGAGCAAGAGAGAGATCAGGCCAGGCAGCCATGATGGGACCAAAGTTTGGGGCCGGGCCCCCTCCCTGGCCCCAAAGCCCTTGCAAGGCGATTCTAGGCCTGGAGGACCCAGACATCTCCCTCATGCTAGACGTCTCTGTGAGCAAAAGGCAGCCCAGAGTCCACCTGACTTCTCCTTTGGGGGGGAACAACACTGCCCCTTCCGATACTGCTCGGCGGTTTTTTCTCCCAGCGCCCTTTTGATGCCCAGGAACTGCAACTTCCATAGTTCCCAGCCAGCCTGTTTAGAAGCTGCCACCTTTCCCTGCTCTGCTAGATCTTGTGCCTCTTGCTTCTGGGGCTTCAAGAAAACGTGACACCTCCAGGAAGCGACTCTTGTGGTTCACATTTTTATTAAAAGTCCCATTTGGCCTCGCGAACGTTATTTTCAAGTTTGAGGGCTTCTCGCCTCCGTGCACCGGGAGGGCCCCCGTTTGAACTTCAGCACCATCAGGTGCTCCTGGCTGGGCAGGCCTCGCCCTCTTCCCTCCGAGCCGGGCAGCGGAGGGCAGAAGTACGAGCGCAGAAAACGCCCGGTGGGATGCCAGGAGCCCAAGGCCGCTCTCTCCGGATGGGCACTGAGCCGTGGGCACAGCCTGGCGTTTCCTGCTGGCAACGGAATTTGGAAGGGGGGGCCAAGTGAGGTTTCCCCCTTGCATGCACACACACACACTCACACACACAACACAAATGACACAAGAACGACTTGCTTCCCTTGATGGCACCACTGCTTTCCTGGAGAAGCCCAGAGGTGCCTGCTGGAACCGAGCGCTGGGGCAGAAGCAAAGCCCCCCTGGTGGACACAGAGCTGCTCTTCTTCCAAAGCCAAAAGGCAGATGTTGACCGCTCAGCTGCTGGGCGGCCTCCATGGTGCCCAGCTCCCCTACTGGGGTGCAGCCTGTTGCTATGGCGTCTCCCTGTGACGGTCAGGGACTCCGGCAGCAGCTTCTGCACCAGGAAACCAGGGGAGGGGGGAGGCTGAGATCCTCAAGAGGCCGGGGGTGGGGCGGAATGGTCCCCCTGATCCGTCAAAAGGGGTTCCTTTGGCACAATCCGGGTGTTGGAAGATGGCCGCCCACTGCTCTGGGGCTCCCGGTGGGTCTCCAGGGCAGGCATCCATCTCATGTCTTGAGCTTCTCTTGGAGGAGGCCGTGACTCCTTCCGGTTGTCTCCTCCACCCCCGGGGGGGGGGGGGGTAGAGAGCGTCCAAAAGCCTCCAAGAGGATAGAGAGAAAAGCTGCACCCCTCAGAAACAGGGGCTCCTCCCCGGCTCAAGTGAAGGAGAGGCCCTGCACCCCCTTTTGTGGCAGCCGTGCTCCGCCAGAGCCCCAAAAGATGGAACAAGAAGATATAGCGGCCTTGATGAGCAGGAAGCCGCTCCCAACGTTGTTAAGAGGACACAACAGAGCAGCAGGAGGGGGTCTGCCAATGGAGGGGAGGGGGATGAAGGAAAGTCCCTCTCCCCTGGCCCTCCAGCAAATTGAAAATGGGCACAGGGCAGAGAGATTTGGCTGAGAAGACGCCGTCTTGGTGACTGGCAGGACTGCACAGGAAATACAGAAAGACGCGGGTCAAACAGATCGGCCTAAAATACCAGCTGCCTCTTGGGGGGGGGAAGAGAAGAGGATTGGAACTGGCTGAGACTCTCCTAAATTAGGCTAATTCCTTGTGGCCCCCCCCCCCCAGAAAGCAGCCTCTGGCAACATCCCTGGAACCCTCTTCAGAAGCCACAAAACGAGTTCGCTTTAGCCCTTCAGTTGGGGCTCCTTTTGATGCACCCCTCTTCTTGGGGATGCCCGCTCAGCTCCCCCCCTATGCTCTGCAGGTGGCCCTGCCCACAATTGATAGAGCCCCTCTTCTTGGGACCCCCGCCCCCCAAGGGAGGCCTGCTCACCTATGTCCGCCCGGCCGGTGTTCACCTCTTGCGCAGCCTCGCCATGAAGCAGCAGGTGACCGAGACGAGGATGGAGACCCCCAGGAGGATAGCGCTGGAGATGCCGACCGCCAGAGGGATGAGGAGGGTGTCCATGGCTGAGGAAGCGAGGGGAGGAGGGGCGTCAGCCCTCGGGGACAAAGGCAGGGGAGGGGTAGAGGGGAAGCGGAGTCCCGGCAGGAAGGCCCAAGCAGGGGAAGACTTGGGCCCGAAACAGTCTGGGCTCTACTCACCCAACGGATACGGGTACACCGTGACCATGTTGGACTTCGCCGAAGCGGCCTGATACCAGCTGCGGTCAGGAGAGTGCACCCAGGCGGTCACAGCGCAGTAGTAGCCCCCTTCGTCGGATGGCTGGACCGCGTGCAGGCGCAGCCGGTGGCTCTGCGGCCCCACTTTATCCACGCTCAGGGCCCCGCCAGACGGCCGCTCCTCCAGCTGGGCCACCCCCTCGCGGTCCACGGAGGCCAAGATGACCCCAAGCGGGCTGGAGCCCGGCTGTGGTAGCTCTGCCCACCAGCTGAGGGCCAGGTGGAGGTCCTGAGCCGATTCCACCGAGACGTTGCATCGGACGTCGGCTGTGCCGCCGCGGTAGGTGGGGAAGGGCAGCCACGCAACGGCCCCCAGCACCACCGCTGTGGGGAGAAGGGGGCAGCCTGAGAAGGGGGCAGGAGCCCTTCCCGCCCTCCCACTGGCGCAAGAGCTCAGCATCCCTAAAGGGGGGGGGGGTCTTCGCTAAGAATTTCAGCTGGGAAAGGGGGGCTCCTTCCTCTAGTGGCAGATTTAAGAGATTAATGGCATTAATTATCCTGCGTGTAATTATGGGATGGCAGGCAGCACTGGGAAGATGAATGGCCTGTAGGGAATGTTTCTGTCTTCCCTTAATCAAAGCAGGCAAAGACCCCCTTTTTTGCCACCCAATTTTTAAAATCAGCTGAAAGGGTGGTCCTGCAGACTGAAGCAGCCTCGGGAATAACAAGAAGCATGGGGCAAAATGCAGAAGTGCATGGTAAGTCCTGGCAAATTAAATGCCCTTTGAGCCCACGCCTAACTTCTGGTGAGTGAAGTGGGGGGGGGGTCTCTTTCTTGGCAACAGAGTCTTTCTAAAATTCTTTTGAGGAGCCGCAAGACGTAAACAGCAACGATATAAACCAGGGAACAGCAGCCCACAGAGGCCTCTGAAATTTAGCAAGTTATTATTACGATCCGTCTTTCTTTTCTGATTGGATGGACTCGAATTATGGTTAATTACTGTGGAGTTATTTAGGTCTTCTGCCAAATTCCAGAGGCTCTACACTGCAGGGGACTTCAACTCCCAGAATTCCTGAGCCAGCCATGCTGAGGGGAAAGGGAGAGGTTTCCAAGCTGAGCCATGCTGGCTCAGGAATTCTGGGAGTTGAAGTCCACCAGTCATAAAAGAACCAAGGTTGACTACCCCTGCGTCTACAGCCTCCAGGAGAATTTGATCGCTGTAGATCCCAGCCGAAGAGAAAATCGGAACGGCTCACCCACTGCACCAAACCTGGAACCTTGGTGGACTCCTTGGGAAATTAGCTTAGCCGGACCGGCAGTGAAAGCCGCCTTTAGAGAGATGGACGAGGGTCCCGCTGGCCCTGAAGGGCCCCTCCCCCCAAAGGCTATGCAGACCAAGGAGGGAACCAGGTTAGCTCTGTGGGGGGGAGAAGAAGGGCTACCTTGGGACTTGATCTCCACGCTGAGTGCCTCGGAGCTCAGGGTGGCCAACGGGCGCAGCTCTGCGTTCGGAGACCGCGAGAAGGCCTGAACCTCGCAGCGGTATGAGCCCACGTCTGCCGGCTGGGCCGACGCGATCCGCAGCAGGAAAGTGCCCAGCGGGGAGGCCAGCTTTTGCAGGGAGACATGCCTCGTGCCCACGTCGCGGCTGGCGTAGTTCTGGCCCAGGACAAGCCCTCCACTGGCCTCTAGCCGGGCAACGAGATGCCCCTGCCCGCCAGCCTCCTTCCTCAGCTCCCAGCTCACCGCCCAGGCGACGTGGGGCAGGAGGAGGGCGGGGCCTCCGGAGACGTTGCAGAAGAGCTCCAGGGAATCTCGGGGGCTGAGCAGGACTCTGGGGGGACCGGCAGACACCGAGAGCTGGCTCGCTGGAAGCAAAGCACAGGGGAAAAATGGGGTCACAGGTCCCTCCCTACCCGTGGCGGTCCCACATGTGCCCCACCCCACTGATCATCCCCCCATGGTCCCCCTGGAGGCAGGATGGCCTCAGGGCCCAACAGGCAGAGCGGAGCGAAGGGAGAGATGCTGCCAGGATGGAGAAGGCTGGTGCCAATTCTGAGAGAGGAGATTATGGGGGACACCCAGCAGATCCCTTTGGAGAGACACAGTGCCCCCTCGGGAAATGAGTAACGGGGGCTCCGTCAGCCTCCCCAAGATATAAAGGGGTGTTTGGGGGAGGGGCAAACCCACCTATGCTTTGAACCGAGACATCAGCCAGCGTTACCCGCTTCTCAGTGATCTGCTGCCAGCTGCCGTCGGGATCCTGGATCCACTCCCCGGCGGTGCAGTGATAGGTCCCGGAGTCCTCTGGCCTGAGTCGGCCCAGTGCCATCTGGTACCGCCAGTCGCCCAGCTTGACCAGGGAGAGCTCCCGGGCCGAGCGCCGTGGGGCAAAACGCCCGGCGGCCTCCAGGGCAAAGTCCCGCTGCAGCCCGATCACCTCCTGCTGCAGCCGGGGGCTTCCAGGCGCGGAGACCGTGAAGGCGACCGAGAGGTGGGTGTGCTGCTGGGTCCCGCTGGCCACGGAGCAGGTGAGCAGCAGGTCCTGGCTCTCCAAAAGCACCATCTGGGGAGGGGGAGCAGCTTTGGCCCCCCGGCCCTGGAAAGGGGGCTTCGCACTGGAGGGAGGGGCAGCGGAGACAGAGAGCTGGTCAGGGATAACTGGGGGGGGGAGAAGCAGAAGGAAAGGGACGGTCAGTTCACTGAGCCAGGACTGGGGGAGCCCCCACCATTCCCCTGAATGCCAGAGCAGCCAGGGGCTCCCCCTCTTCCCAAACCCCAAGGTGAGCCTAGCAGCCCCTCCGCAGCCAGTTCCTGGGGGCTGGTCCCCGCCCCACGCATCTTGCGCCCTGCCAACTGGCAGAGAGGTGGGCATGCGGGAAGGGGAGGGGAGGAAGCAGGTCTGCTCGTTCCTCCCTCCAGCTGTGCTGAACCGCCACGGCCAGGACCCCCCGCAGCCTGGGCAGGTCTCGCCCCAGGCAGCATCCAGCGGACTCACCTCTGACCTCCACCTTGGCGCTGTAGGTGCCCTGGTATTTGGAATCCGTGGTGGGCGTGTAGCACTCATAGACCCCCGTGTCCTCCATCCGGATCGCCCTCACACGCAGTTCCACAGCGTCACCCCGAACGCGCAGGATGGAGACGTTGCCCGCCTGCACTCGGGCCCCAAAAACGGCGTAAGGGAAGCTGGGGTCGCGCGTGCTGACCATGCCGATGGAGATGTCGGGAGCCGGCGGCCGATACAGGAACCACTCGAACTGCTGCAGGGAAGGACCCTCGAACTCGGAGACGTTGCAGGGAACGGCGAGGGTGGCACCTTCCACGCGGTACAAGGGCCCCGGAGGCAGCTGGACCTTCCTGGCGCCGCTGAGGGCTGGGCAGGCAAGGGAGGCGGGTTAGCCAGTGGCTCCGTGGCTCCGATCCGAGGGACAGAGGACCAGAGCAAAAGAAGCCGAGAGTCTCGGCCGAGGAAGGGGCTCCGACTGAGGAGAGCGCCCATCCCACCACCCTGGGGGCCCTTCCAAGGGCCCGGCTGGAGGGGGGGCGAGGGGGGGGAGAGAGGGGCTTGGCAAACTGCAGGGCCACCTGGAAAGAGCCCTAGAAATTCTTTGCAGGCTCTGCAGGCTGGGAGGCCTCATCCACGGCGGAAAAGCTCCAGGAAGACCATCCTGGCTCTGCGGACTTTTGCAGGACTTTTACAAGAGAGGCCCCCCCTCCCCCCCAGCCCCAAAAATAACCGGGAGGCTCAGCCCGGATCTGGCCAGCCAAGAACGCTCCCCCACCCCAGCCAACCGAGAGAAAAGGGCCTAATAATGCAATAACAACCTGAGGAAGCAGGGTGCGTCCTCCTCCGGGGAGCCCCCCCCGTGGGAGAGCAGCAGGTGCAAAGGGCCTGCCTTTCCTTGGAGATGCTGCCCCCTCCCCTACCCCCTACCCCCCCCCGGGCAATTGGGCAGAGTCTTGGTCTGTCTCCGCAGCCTTCCTCGCCTGCCCGTGCCCAGCCCACAGGCAGGGAAGTGGAGGCGCGCGTGGGGGGCTGCGGAGGGCCTGGGAGCAGAATCACAGCCGGACGGGGCAATGCAACCACAGCCCCCCCACCCCTCTCCAGCAGACCAAGGCGACCCTGCCTGCCTGCCCCGAGGACTCCTGGGCAGGCCTGTGGGAGGAAGGGGGTCAGCCGGTCCTGGCGGCCAAGGGGGGCTCCCATCTGACCGCCCCGTGGCAGCCCTCAAAAGCTGGGCCAGGCTCGGTCTCCCCTCTGCCTTCCCAAGCCGGCCTCCTCGCCCGGGGACCCCATTCCGTCGCCGAGCCCTCCAAGCCGGCAAGGGCTCCGCAGGGCATGGAAAGTCGCCGCGCCATTCCCAGGCCGGGAGGGAAGGCGGAATCTCCCTCCTCCGAGGCCCGGCCCGGCTGCAGGAGAGCAAGCCAAGGCCGGCTTTGGTCCCCCGCCCTGCACGGCCCGCCAAGCAGCCCGCCGTTGCGCCCCGCGCGCCCCCCGACCAGCCCTTCCACGCACCGGCCAGCGGCAGGAGGAGAAAGCAGAGGAGGAGGCGGCGGTGTCGGCGGCTCAGCGCCCGCGCGGGACCCTCCATGAGTGGCCGGGGAGGCGGCGGGACCCTCCAGGGGACGACGACGACGCCCTGCCGCGCCCTCTCCGACTCGCCGGGATCCGAACCGGTTGTCGCCGGGGAAGGCGGCTCGCTCAGCCCGCCCGGGCCCAGGAGAAGCCGGGCTCTGCTGAGTAGCCACGCCTCCGCCGTCCCCGCCGCCGCCGCCGCGCGCCCCCGCGCGGTCGGAGCTGGCCGGAGAGCCCAGACACGGGCCGTCTGTACGTGCCCAGGAACCTCGTGCTCCTGGGCACGTAACAGACAGGTGTAGATGGCCAGGGCGGACGGGGGACCCCGTGGGGCGGGGGAGGGGGCGCGGGGGGGGGGTCAGACCGTAGCTCCGCGCGATGCCCCGTGCAGGGGAGCCCTCCTGGGGGGGTGCAGCGGGTCCCGCGGCCCCCGGGGGGCGCCAAACGCCACGGCAAGGGCAGCTGCTCTCCTGGAGGGACGAGGGACCCCCGGGCAACGTACTCCAGAAATCCAGGGGTCCCCTAAATCTATCCAATGCCGAAGAAGGGACGAAGCCCGGAAGGGGGGTTGTAATAGGAACATTTGGCTGTGGAACTCAGGGCCTCAAGGTGTCACTGTGGCCACCAGCTGGGCAGCAAATAGTAAAGTAGCCCAAAGGCCTCTAGCCCAGCCCAGCTCAGCTCTGGCCACCCTGCCGGCTCCCCAAAAGTATCCAGAGAGAGTGGACCAGAGGGGACGAATTGCTCCATCTCTCTCCCGGCCCCCTCCGTGTTTTGGCATAAGACCGGCCCACTGACCGGTCTTAAAATCAGACCCGCCAATGGAGACCTATGTACTAAAGGTTCTTTTAACGCCTCTCTCTGGCACAACAACCCTGTGAGGGAGGTAAGAGGAGAAGCCGCCCGACACTGAGAAGACGCCCAGACCTGAGCAGTCCTGCTGCTCCCCTGGGTGGTCCCTCAGAATCAGCCCCCCCCCCGGCAGGGTCATGGTTAGCAGCACCCAGATTGGCTGGGAGGGAGGCCCTGGACCCACCGGAAGGCCAGAGCGCCCCCCACCCCCGGCCTTGTAGAGTGTGTCTTTGGACAGAAAACTCCGTTTGCTCTCTCTGGAGAGGGAGGGATGGAGGGGGCTGCTCTCTCACAAGCACACACAAACAGAGACACACAAACACACACACACACACACACACACGCATGCCAAAGGGCCTGTGGGGACGGGTCTCTCAGGCCCCCTTCCCTGCGGTGGACTTGGCGCTCTTTCACAGCAGCATTTATTTACACAGCTTGGGAAGTGGGGGGGGTGGAGGGACCAGCCCCCCCTCCCAAGGCATTCTTTCCTCTCTCTTCACCCCCCCCCCTTTTCCCAGCCAGCCTGCAGCCTCTGCGTTTCCCAGGTTGCGGATGCGAAGGAACAAGGCGGACATGTTCCCTTGGCGATGGGAATAGGCTGCCTGCCAAATTTGGGCCGGCTGAGCGCGCTGCCCCACTTCCACAGAGGAGAAGGGCCGGGGGGGGCCTGGGGGCGCCCCAGACTGCAGCAGAGAGCCGGCCAGAGGGGGCTACCCAGCCCTGCCTGGAGCCTTCCAGGGAAGGGGGCTGTTCTCCCCAAGTGCTACCTGGGGCCTGCCCCCCCCAAATCCCCCAAGAAGAGAGAAAAGGGGACCCCAAGGAGGTTCAGGGGCGATTTCTGGGTTTGGGGGCAACAGTCACAGTATGAAACTGAGTCTTTCTTCTCCTGATGCTTGCTTCTAACTCTGAGCCCTCTGCACATGCTCGCTTGCCACAAGCTGCCCTTGCCAAGGGAGGACTGGCATCCAAGCTCCGGCTGTGGAGCTGCCCCCCCCCCCGCCTGGCAGGTGCAGCCAAGAGAGAAACTCTGGGCTTCTTCCACCCTCGGTTTGGTTCGTTCACTCCTTTGACCCCGTCCTCTTTTCATTCCGGCCGCTTGGGAACATTGGCAAGCGGAGACGGGCGGACGGCTTCTCTTTGCCTGCCAAATGAACGGGGTCCCCCCCCATTCTCCTCCCTGCTTTTCCCCCATTCCACAGCTTCCCCCTCGGAATGACAATGGAGGCCCAGATCGGCTCGGCTGAGCCCTTCCTCCACCCCACCTTGGATCCCTCAGCCTCAGAAGGGTCAAGCAGGGAAAATCCCTCTTCTCACAGACGTAAACCTCAAGAGACGCGCGAGAAGCAAATATTTCACATCCTTGACATAATATGGAAAGGGGTTTTTTTTGGGGGGGAAGGTCTCCTCCCTTTCTGTATTCACAGGCGTGCAAAGGAGCCCCCATCCTCCCAGTGGGAATGTCGTTCAGGCTAAAGGGGGGCTCTGCCACCACCCCCCTTTAGTCTCCCCAGGAGATTTCAGCCCCTCTTAGAGCCCTTTCCGGGACCTGCCTGGCTGGCAGGAAGCCGCTTGAGGGTCTTTGAGGGAAGTGGGTGCGGGACAACCAACCCACCGCGGGGGAGAAGCATTTGAAACCTGATTGCTGTGGACTTGGGACAGGGAGACAGAAAGTCTGTGGCACAACAACAACTTACGTTGCATTCAACCACACAATGCATTGCCAAGAAACGTTCCCGTTTCTGATGGCTTAAAAAGGGTTAGCTTATATAATATAATAAATATAAAGTTGGAAGGGACCTTGGAGGTCATCGAGTCCAACCCCCTGCTCAGGCAGGAAACCCTATACCATTTCAGACAAATGGCTGTCCAGTCTCTTCTTAAAGACTTCCAGTGTTGGAGCATTCACCGCTTCTGGAGGCAGGTGGTTCCACTGGTTAATTGTTCTCACTGTCAGGAAGTTTCTCCTTAGTTCTAGGTTGCTTCTCTCCTTGATTCGTTTCCACCCGTTGCTTCTTGTCCTGCCTTCAGGAGAATAGCTTGACTCCCTCTTCTTTGGGGCAGCCCCTGAGATATTGGAACACTGCTATCATGTCCCCCCTTGTCCTTCTCTTCATTAAACTAGACAGACCCAATTCCTGCAACCGTTCCTTATATATTTTAGCCTCCGGTCCCCTAATCATCTTTGTTGCTCTTCTCTGTACTCTTTCTAGAGTCTCAACATCTTTTTTACATCGCGGTGACCAAAACTGGATGCCGTATTCCAAGTGTGGCCTTACCAAGGCCTTGTAAAGTGGTATTAACACTTCACGTGATCTTGATTCTATCCCTCTGTTAATGCAGCCCACATTCAACGATTTAACAGCTGCAGCTCCTGGGGCAACCTGCTCTCGCCCCCACCCCCCACCCCCAGTAGAGTTTTGCCTGAGGCTCGGTCCTCTGTGGGGATTCTCAGTCCACGGTTGCCCCAAAGGTGCTTTTCCAAAAAGCAACTTTTGAAAACTTCTCTGATTTCCTTGAAGACCTTCCACGTCTCATGCAAGAAGCTGCTTCAGTTCTGACCCGCCCCGGTCTGGGCTCTGGGCAGGCAGGTTCCTGCCGAAGAAATGAGCGTCTCTGGCATGTTTTTCCGCTGACTTCGCAGGCCCCGATTGCACAAACAGTGACCTCGGGGGGGGGGGGGCTCCTGCAAGGAAGAAAGCCAGAAGCCCAGGGCAAGGTAGCCGGTGGTGTCTGTCCAGCATGACTGTCCAGAACAAAACAGCAGGCCTTTCCGTGGCCGGGATGCCTGGCCAAATTCTGTGAGATCTCAGTGGGGAAGGATGAAGCGGCAAAAACGAGAGCCACTGTGTGCAGTTTTCATACTCCACTCCCCGAAAACTTTCCAGGCCTCTGCTCTTAATTCTCCTGCCTGACTTCCATGTGAGCTGCTCCTTCCCTCCCCCCAGCCCCCCCCCACCACCGAGTTTTGTAATGTAGGAAACCCAATCCCGATTCAGGAGGGAGGGGCTGCCTTTGGTGCCCCCCCTAGGCACAGACTTAGAACACAAAACCACCCCTCACCAGCACCCCGTTGGATTGCAGGAAGCCCCCCCCTCCTCCTGCTTTGCCTCGTGCACGTGCTTGGCACAGAGGGACACCAAAGACAACAAAAACACGGCACCGACAACAGCGCACACAAAACGACTCTCCCTCCAGGACCACAAGCTGCTTTTGTAAGAGAAGGAGAGTGTTTTCCTGCCCTTCGAACACCTGTGCCCAGCTTCCCGGCACAGAAACTCCCATGGTGTACAGCCAGGGAGCACCCCCTTACTGGGAAGCTGGCCCCAAGGGGCCCCCATGAGCAAGTCTCTGGCTTAGCAAGGGCCCCAAAGCCTTGTGCGGCAGGGAAGGGCTCTCAACACTCAACCCAGGGGACCCCATGTCCCCAACCGCTGTGAAGGAGCCGAGGGGAGCCTGGGTGGATGAGGCTAAAAGATGCCCTGCCCTCCCACCGCGTCTCCCCACATCATTCCCCCCCCCAGGGAGACCCTCCTTCCAAACAGGGAAGGAAGACCTGAGGCTGAAAGCAAAGGGAGAGAATCCGGTGGCGGGAGCGACTGTCAACTTGATAATGATAAAGTTGGAAGGGACCTTGGAGGTCATCTAGTCCAACCCTGCTCAGGCAGGAAACCCTATGCCATTTCCGTCAAATGGCTGTCCAGTCTCTTCTTAAAAACTTCCAGTGTTGGAGCATTCACTGGTTAATTGTTCTCACTGTCAGGAAGTTTCTCCTTAGTTCTAGGTTGCTTCTCTCCTTGATCAGTTTTCATCCGTTGCTTCTTGTCCTGCCTTCAGGCGCTTTGGAGAATAGCTTGACTCCCTCTTCTTTGGGGCAGCCCCTGAGTTTGCAAACTCTTTGGGTTCATTTGTATCCAGTGGGATATTTGTTTGCTCAAAGCTTCATTTAAACAAGCAGTGAAGTTTCTCTTTGGCAATTAGTTACACAGAAACAAAGCCGTTTTCTAAAAGTAGCCACACACACCCGAGGCCTCCCCTCCCGAGACCAGCTTAAAACCAAGGGGGTGTTTGGAGATGGCCACACAACTGACTGAGGCACACAAACACACCCACAGCCCTCTCTGGGGCACACAGGGCAGCGCAACGTGGGTCTGGCCCCGAAATGAAATCTCAAAGCTTTTCTTTTCTGCCCTCCAAAGTCATATTAAAAAGAGATTTGGAAATAAATAAGCCGGCCTCACCGTCCCTGGAGCTAAATCCCTTTGGAGCAGCAGGGAAGGTCAGATTTCATTAAAGTCAGGAAAATGGGGTCTCCCAGAGCGGCCTGGAAGCTTCCCCCCCCTCTTCTGCCCCTTCCTCCAGCCATGACCCCCCAATTCCCAGCTCCGGGGCTGGCAAGGGCCCCCCCATAGCTAGCTGGGTTGCAGGGCAGTCATTCTAGAAGAGCTTCCCCTTTTAGGCCAAGAAGACCCCCCCTGCAGAAGCAGCCTTGGTGCCTCGGATGTGGTGGCTTCAAGCCGGGTCTCGTGGGCAGCTCAGGGTCTCCCAAGGGACCCACGGCAGGTTTGGCCCCCTTGAAAACTTTAATAATAATAATAATAAAGTTGGAAGGGACCTTGGAGGTCATCTAGTCCAATCCCCTGCTCAGGCAGGAACCCTACACCATTTCAGACAAATGGCTGTCCAGTCTCTTCTTAAAAACCTCCAGTGTTGGAGCATTCACCGCTTCTGGAGGCAGGTTGTTCCACTGGTTAATTGTTCTAACTGTCAGGAAGTTTCTCCTTAGTTCTAGGTTGCTTCTCTCCTTGATGAGTTTCCATCCGTTGCTTCTTGCCTGCCTTCAGGCGCTTTGGAGAATAGCTTGACTCCCTCTTCTTTGGGGCAGCCCCTGAGATACTGGAAGGCTGCTATCCTGTCCCCCCTCGTCCTTCTCTTCATTAAACTAGACATATCCAATTCCAGCAACCGTTCCTTATATGTTTTAGCCTCCAGTCCCCTGATCATCTTTGTTGCTCTTCTCTGCACTCTTTCTAGAGTCTCAGCAGAGATTGCACTTTCCTGGGCGCCCGAGTTCTGCTCTTGCCTCAGTTTTCCTGCCGGACTGCACTAAACCGGAATGCGGTTTATCAGCACACACCCCCCCCCGAGGTTTGCAAACTGTGGTTTTAAGACTCAGCGTCCTGTGTCGAACAATCCCAGGCTCATGGAAGGGCCGGCCTTTGTGGGGGTTTGACTGAAGGAGGGGTGACGAACACGTCACTCCCTCCCTCCCGGCCAGGTCAGGGGAGACCGTTTGGCAGGGGGTCAGGATTGGGCCCCTCAAAGGCCAGTTCAGAGGTTCTCCCCAGATCAGGGTCAGGTGCCCCCGATTCCCTGAACTGGGTTCTGCCCACATGGGGCTTCCGTGCAAGGCCAGCTGAGAAAGAGTCAGTCCAGAGTTGGCACAGGGGGCAGTCAGTTTGTGATTTGTGACAGTGGGCACTCCCCCCCTGCTCTCTATCCAGCTCCCCCCCTAATGCAGCAAGGGGGCTTTTCTGCTGCTGGTAACAGGCTAGCATGCCCAGGGACGCTTCTGTGC